ATAAAATAGGTAAATATACAGTATAAGAAATATAAATATTACATTAAACATCTAGCATAAAATTATCATTTAATTTAAAAGTAAACATATTAAAATAAATAAATATACAATATAAGAAAAAAATAAACAAAAAGTAAATATACAATATAGGAAATAAAAACCAAATTAAACATTTATCTTAAAAATATACAGTAAAATATACATATTTCAAATTAAACATTTATCTTAAAAATATACAGTAAAACCATTTAAATATCTATTTGAAAATGTAGAGTTTTACATTTTTATTATTTCAAAATATTTACATAAGTAAATATACAATATAAGATAAGATAAAATAAATAATAAGTAAATATACAATATAAGAAATAGAAATATTACATTAAACATCTGTCGCAATATTATTATTTGATGTAAAAACAAGAAAACAGAGTAAGTAATTATAAAATATACAAAAAAATAAGTAAGCATACAATAATAAATGTAAAAATTAAAATTAACACCTATTTAAAAAATTTATGGTAAAATAAATAATCAGTATTAAACATCTATCGCAATATTAGAATAAGTAAATATACAATAAAAACAAATAAAGAATAATTAAGTATACAATACAAAAATAGAAAACTAAATTAAAAATATATCTGAAAAATGTATAGTAAAATAAATAATAAGTAAATATGTGAATACATTTTGTATTCTGAAATAAATAATAATGTAAGGCTGGTAAATATACAACATCTATCAACACCTACCTTTGAGTTTATGAATTAATGCAAGTTGTGTTTCAAAAATAAAATAGTTAACATTTGAAAATTAAATAGGTCCGCGCGTAGCGCGGATTAATCCCTAGTGTTTATGAAAGATCTTTTGCCTTAATTGGATGTTATTTCTGGTTAGTCAAGTCATAGCTCATAAATCATAACTAGCAGAAAAAAAAGAATTAGGGCCCAACCGGGTTCGAACCGGTGACCTATTGATCTGCAGTCAATTGCTCTACCACTGAGCTATGGACCCATTTTGATAAGAGGCTGCACTGTTTACTATTAGTATTCATAGATGAAATCACATTATATGGGTTAAAGTCGTATATTATTATTTTTTTTTATTTTTTTATTTTATTTGACGTCACATTATATTGGTAGAAATGTTAAATGTATATGGTCCCCATCCTTCCTTTTTATAAAAAAGTTTCTACCCATAATCATTTTTATCAACTTATTTATCACCTCAACAAAAGCTTGTTTAAAGGCTAGTGACGTCAAGAAAAAATGTTCTTTATATACTATAGAGTGTGGTCCAATTAATCATTTTCGTAAAAAGAAGAGATAGTTGCATGAATAAAGATGACAACAATACATAGTCCTACTGAACCTAAAGGAAGTCCATAGAGAAAACAGCATACATCTTCTTCTTTTTTATAACATCAACAGCATACATATTCATATACGTAATTATAAACATTAACATAATAAATCCATAATAATAAGTAATAAAACGGTAGAAAATAGAATACATAAACAGTTAATATTGACCAATGCTAAAAGTTGAAGACGAGAACGATAAAATGCGTTTTTGTCTTTAGAAGAGACCTCAACGATACTCCATCTAGGAGAAGTCTGATTGACCGAGTAAATCGGTTTGATCGTACCAACTATTTGTCCAGTAACCACTTTGCATCGCTTCGTTCATGCTCTGGTCTACATTGGCATACAAGGTACTCTCTGGAAAATCAACGTTTTGAGTACCCATAACCGGAAATTCGAATTCTTGAAAGTACTCAGATGCAAAATCTTGGATTTGAGGATAGTCCTACAAAAAAATCAAACCGGTATAAGATAATTAAACCTTCTCTGTTTCAGTTATTGACCAACTTAGAAATGCATATACATACTTTTGAAGAATCGAGAATGAAATCAGGTGAAGTCCAAATGTTGGAAGAATCGGTTTGAGTAGAAACCGGATTGACAAATGAGTGAACCGGCATCACTCCATCATGACTAGGGGAAGTCACTCGACTTGAATAACCTGAACTTTCTCCTGATCTCATTCTGTGAATTTTTGAGTTATTCTTGATCTCATTCTTCTTAGCCACACGGCATAACACAAAAGCTCCCTGTAATTAAAAACACAATGCATTCTTAATTATTCTTTTTTTTTTCTTGTGTGTGTGTAAATTGGCATTGCACTCTTAATTTTCTCTCTTTAAAAATACAGCATATTTAGGATTTGATCAAAATGTAAAGCACTCTTACCTTAAAAATTTGTGAACCTTGTGATGAACTCTCATCATCGCATAGTCGATATTCATGCATGAGCCAACTGGTTCTATCGCCTAACGGAGCACGACCATTATAGAAAACTAGGGTTTTTCTATAGCCGATTGTAGAAGATGAACGACATGTAATTTTCCGGTCTTTTCCGGTTGCTTTCCAATAACCGCTTTTTGTTCCTCGGTTTGTACGAAAACCATTAGGATATTTTTTGTCCCTTGAACAGAAGAAGAACCATTCCATGTCCCGGTTTGGAAGAAAAGACTTGTCTAAAAAGTAACAAGAATCATTTTTAAATAAAAAGTCCTAAAATTACCCAAAAAATAATTGATATTAACTTTGAAATTTAAGTGATTATTACCTGGTAACTCCCAAGGATCAAACTTATAAAGATCAATAAGTGGAATGACTTCAAGCTCGATTTCGAGACCTTCGACTTTTCTTTTCAAGTAATAGTCGATGAGTTCTTCATCAGTAGGATGAAACCGGAATCCTGGAGGTAAACCTGAACTTCCCATTTGCAATAACACTAAGTAACTTGGTATACAGGAACAAAATCTTGACCCACGTGAGTATATTTAATTCAGAAAGAGATATTATAATAGAAGTCACGATCAAGAAGCTACAACTTTTAATATTTGGAAAATCCAGAAATAGAAACTCTTCTCAACACTAGTTTTGTTGTTAAGAATGGATTGCAGCTCAAGTCGATGGCATTGTTTGTATGACAAGAGCATTGTCTGAAAACAAGAAGAGAAATTTGTTTTCTATGAAGAAAACAATTAACCAAAACTTCCCCAAATTCTTATGGAGTGGTGTGAAAGCTTCAAAAGTGATTTGCGAATGATTAAGAAGTGATTGAGAGATATTAGAAGGTTGGTAGAGTGTTGAATGGTTATGGAGTCCTGATTATTTATAGAGCAAAGTTACAAAGTTGGTAGAATATCGATTAATAAATACTTTTAATTGGGATTACAAAAGTTTAGTAGAATACGGCTTTTGTTTTTCACAAAACTATGGGAGACCGATAAAGTGACTAAGACATAACTTGTCTGAAGTGTTCTACAAGAGAAAAGATAACAAAATATATGTACCCACTTGTTCACACGTAGCCACAAGCAATTAACAACGCGTTCATATTGTCTTTTCTTTGTTCAAACTTATATTGGCTTATACAGGCTTGTCTTTCATTTCGGTTATTGTCTTAATTTATCATACTTTTCAGGCTTATAATTTTTATTTAAGCGAGACAGTTAATATAATATATGCTATAATATGCTATATTTTCCAACTAGCAAATACCATAGATATTATAATGGGTACAATACTTTTAAATGAGTTTAAACAAGTTTCCAAGTCAAATATTACAGTCATATTGAGTTTTAAAATATCGCTCCACGTCACAATGCGTAGGACAAGAACTTTTTAGTGTAATCACTTATGTCACACGAAAAAGGAGAAGAAAGTGACAATGAAAGCTAAATTCGAGTCCGAATAAGCAAGTAGACCCGCGGCTGTTCTAATCAGACCAAAAACATTTTCAGTTTCTATTAATTTTATTTGATCATGTCTTAAACAAGTACCAAAGAGTCACTTTGAATATTTTGTGGAAACAAAAAAATGTTGTCATACAAGTATACAACTATTAAGATATAAAGTTCTTTAACAAACAAAAAAAAAAGAACTATTACGAATAAAGTTTCGTCTCCCCCAAGGCCGCAACGGTGGAAATTGTTGAAGCGTGAATTTACTAACGGTGAATCTAAGATAGAGCCAAAGTTATATGATAGGTGAAGACTTAAGAACCAAGCTAATCTCCGATGAACAACAAGAAAACTTGATTGGCTCCTAATTATGAAACATGGAGATGATAGGTGAAGACTTAAGAACCAAGCTAGTCTCCTAGTTTTGAATACGGTAAGTATCTTAATCACGAAAAAACGGCATGGAACAATAAAAGATTTTAAGTGCTATCGAGCAACAAGACCTAAGGTCTTTAGGTACTTTTAGAATCTTCCTGTGATATCACTGAATGATTCTAACAGACTTCTAATTTTTTTTGGAAACATGTTTCTAACTTACATAAGCAAATGAAGTTATTTGTATTAAGTATAGAAGGAATTTAGATACTCGCAAGTATAAAAAAAGTAATCAGTATAAAACAATTGTAAGTTATCTGACTTGATATTACTTGTTTCTTTACTAGAGAATTATATTTTATTTTGTGAGAAGTAAACAATACACCTACATTGAATGATTAATGTTTTACTCATTCTTCTTCTTTATAACATCAAAAAAAATTAGAGTAAATTTTGTGGTGTTTTTAGTAGAGTAAACAACAAAACTTTTATGTCCATTATTTTGCAGGTAATTCTTAAATATCCGGAAACATTGACAAGTAACTCATAAGTACTCGAAAGTAACAACTAATAAGCAAGACAAGAAATTTGCAACTCATTTTTGAGCAAGTAGTTGAAATAACAAATATTTTTTTATCAAGTCAAATACAAAGTCTAAATTTTTATTACTCATCCAAAGCAAAACAAGTATCAAATATAGCTAATATAGTAAGTACTAGGCTTGTGTCAAGCCCTATTATGTATACATTTCAGAACATCCTGGATGTATATATATATATACGAAGTTGTATATCCCGAGTTCCCATTAGTAGGGACCTACCAATATAATTTTCGTACACTGGTCAATTATGGCAGTGCATCCTGAGGTTAATTTCGAGCAGTGGGATAAGGTCAATTAATGTTATGAAAGCTTTTACATAGTTAAGTTCATCGTTACGGTTTACCAACGAAGAAAATCATAGTTAACCAAGAATATGCTATGTTTCAACATCCACATTGCCACATTGGTCAGGCAGTAGGCCACCTAATATATTCCGTCTGATCCTGCTTTAGTTATTTTAAACTACTGTTCTTCAGTAAAATGTGTATAACAGGAATTAATTAAAAGGTGTGGTAATTCTATAATTATTCAATATAAACAACCTTTTATCTAGCCTAGTTAATATATATCTGGAAGTACCAATAAGCAATAGGTCGTTTACCTTGGTTATGATTACTATTTATTCGAACTAGGGCTGGGCATTTTATCCGTTATATTTGATTCGTTTCGTTATTCGTTTCGATTCGATCCAAAAATTCCGGATATCCGTAAACTTTCAAATCAAAGCAAATACTAAAATTCAATATCCGTTAAAATCGAAGCAAATCACAAATATTAAAATTTTGGGAAACGGATATCCGATCCGATCCGGGAATATATAAATATATGTATATCTTGATTATATTTAAAATTTTAAATGTAGAAAATTATATAATTATTATTCTAGCAATTGATTTTGAAAAATTCTATTCACATTACTACTTATATAAAAGTATTACATAAAAGAGAAAAAAAATTTATGACAAATATATTTTTTCCCTTAAATTTTATGTTATTATAATTGTAACTTAAACTTAAAAAAATACAAAATATGTAATTCACTAATTCTTTTAATTTTTATTTTATATATCATTCAAAAAAATATTTTTTCAAAGCAAATTTGTATCAAAATCTTAAGATTATTTGTATTAATCAAAATGGACGAGATATCCGTAAATATTCGTAAATATCCGCAAATATCTATTTATTTTCCGGATATCCGTTTTTCCGGATATCCGTATTTTTTCGAAGCAAAGCAAATACCAAAATTAGATATTCGTAACCTTCGAAGCAAATCACAAATACCTTGAAAAACCCGGATATCCGATCCGTGCCCACCCCTAATTCGAACATATTAACTATGAATTCAATTTATCATTTGTACTTATTTTGGACAGTTTTTGGTTTAATTTGGTTCTGATTGAGCAGCCTAGCTAGTAGAAAAGGTACAAAAGAATGACTTCAGTTGACGGTAACAGTGGTTCAGTCGTATTATATACAAATGAACCTTGTCAGTCGTCACTTTGGTAGAGTGGGAATATTCCCCCCACTCCCCCCACTACTTTTATTTACAGAGGTTCACTTTAACCTAATAACCCATGGTAACGTTCAAGGGAACAGTACGAAAAAGTAAAAAGATATTAACAAAAAAAACTCTCGGTAGGCACAATAATTGAAAATCTATTGGAAGAAGAGGGGGTCTAAGGGATAACGAACAAAGACGAGTCAGAAGTGAAAGCAATGCATCAATTGGTAGGAAAATAATCAAAAGATGTGTATACAAATACTGATCTATTATTGACCACCTTTTAATGATTATTTTTGTGACTAATATTAATGTTTTATGCGTGAAAGCGTTTTTGTCTAGTGTAACCAATGAATTAATGCTTCTACGTAGCTCAGTAACTGAACTTAAACTCTAGAATATGTGAGTTTTCTGTTGGACTATTGAACAAGATTTGCAAAGGTACAAAACATGTAGATGCTGAATAGTATATATGTTTGTATAATGTTGATATAATAAAAAAAATATAATTATCTATATTAACTCACTGAACATTGGTAAAATGATAACTTTTTAATATAGGGAAATTGCATCCAATAACATTAAAAAAAAACAAAATTGATTAAGTAACCAAAAAGACACCCTCTCTCTCTCCTTATGTGTTCCTATCTCTCTCTATCATCTCTCTAGAAAACTAATTTTGCTTTTTTTTTAGGTTATTTAACAAATAAGCCCTTTAATATATAAGGATATAATAGTCAAGAACTTGTAAGCCCTTCTCAAAAAAAAAGTCAAGAACCTGTAGTATAGTTGGTCTATATTAGTACCAGACATTATGATTCAGTCAGACCTTAAACTGATATTGTGCGTGTGTCAATTATAGGACGATTTTTTTTAAAACTAATTATAGGACGATTAAAAAGACAAATATAGTTTAAACTCTCTTTCTTCATCAATTATAGTTCTTGTGGTACAAATGTATGAACTCTCTTTCACATATAATTTGATTTTAAAGATAATGGAAAGTTGTTAATCAACAAAATGGTAAAGAAATTTGTTTTATGATGATGGAAAAAGAAACATTAAACGAACATAACCAAAGACGCCAGCTAGTCTTATACTTTTTTTTTTGTAAAACATAGTCTTATACTTCTAGTTCTAAGGTTATGAAAAATAAGAACTTAGACCGCTATTAATTATGTTAGAATTGGAAGTTAATTAAATTGATAGATTGGCGACAAAGATGCCTATGAGAACTTTGAACATGAGACAATCATCTTATCACTTAATCACACTTTGTCTCTTCACCCTTTTCTCCTTTTTGCTTTCGGCTCCCTTCTTTTCTCTCTTTTTATATCTCATCTCTTTTTATCATGCATTTTTAAGTTTTCTTAACCAACTATAAACGTTTTAAGTAACGGAAATGTATATGTACCAAATAGTATAATAAACCCATAATAAAACTAAACAAATAAAAATTAGGCTTACATCATTGTTTCATGCAGATATGGTATAGTTGCTTTCCCATATGAGCGGGTGCAAACTTAAATTATTTATTTGTATAGCATGAGATTG